ATGTATGTATGTATTTAAAAAACACTATCCAAATCCATTTGATTCAGTATTTGGGGCAAACTTCTTTTGCTCGGTAATCTACATACATGTATAATCACCGGTCTTCTCAGCAGGGTGCCTCAGTAAGACGATGTCTATTTGTCCACCCAAAGCTCATCAAAACACCACTGAAAAGGTTTCATTCCTGCATAGAATAAGTCCATAGCTGGATATGTGGCAGTTAAGACTCGACAGGATTTAGAGCTGCTGGGCCTTTAACTAAACTTGTTGAGCTGTGTCAAAAGATAGTACATGTACATGTACATATTCTGGGGAGTGTTTCACAAAGACTATGATAGACTTTAAAGATGAAGTTGAGTTCTTGTCATGCGATTGCATTGTGAAAGAAACGGTGTGGAATCGATCAGAAAAGGTTGATCATCTACATGTAGCATATAAGAATTCATGTGTATTGCAAGGTTCTGGAATCATCAAAATGATAAGAAATTTGGCCAAGTCTTGGTAAAGTTACAAACACTGTACAAAGAAAGATGTATATGGGACTACACGAACACGTGGCGTAAAAAGCCAGCCCCCCCCCCCCCCCCCCGATTTTTACGATGTTACATGCATATTTAGAATATGAAGGCATTTGAAGAGCCATGCTTTTCAGGGAACATGTCTTATCTGATGTTCTTCCACACTTGCATAATAAGAATGAGTAACGCTCACAAATTATTTTTCACCTCTTCCCAGAACTCAACCTTCTCTTTGAGTTGGGCTTAACTACAATGTATGGCAGGCCGTTCATGCCACTGTTTGCTCTCACCATTATGATCTTTATAGTCTTTACTTCAATAATGAATGATCAGAAAATGTAGATTTAATTGTGACCATGATTTGAGAGACCAATGCCAGTAAATGGTGAGAGCAAACAGTGGCATGAAAGGCCTTCCATAGTTACATGTAAGTCCAACTTAAAGTTGATCTTAGTCTTTGTGAAACATGCTATAGAAAAGTTGGAATTTCTCCTTAAATATCCAGCTGCACTTTAATAGCTTGAAAAAAAACATCTTCCTGGAAAAAAAGGCCAAAACAAAAACAAAAACAAACAAACAAACTAAAACATGTTTATTATTCCATTATGTTTAAGTTAATAAATACTTCCTCGATATTCCAGATCTATTACAATGTAGCGACTAGTAGAAAAAGACAGTTAATCCCTGGCACTTAGTATTACTACCCAGTACTGAAATCTGCAAAAACAATATTTACAGTCTTCTTTCACAATTGGCAAAGAATTAATGCAAACTTCCTTAAGTTTACAGAGCTCAATTGGTCACTATTCACAAACTCTATAGAGTTGAGTACATTGTTCATGTATGCTATCCTGGGGTAGTTCCTGTACAGACTGCACTGTTTAGGCTTGTACTACAGAGTATGTACAAACTAAAATTCAAACGTGTATAATTGGAATGTGAAAGGATCGAGTGTGAACTGATGTATGGGAAGCACGAAATTCCCTGTGGCCTGACTCCAGGCATTGCTTAATATCTTACCAAAGGATATATAGTGCCACAGCGGGATTCAAACTGCAAACCATGTGATTCACAGTCCAGCAACATATCCACTGGACCACGATAGAACTTTTATATCAAATTTACAGCAACAAAAATAAGTAAAAACAAGTCTGAAGTTATTTTGGAACTGAGTGTATATCATTGCAAAAAGTTCAAAGAGTTAAAAGTTCATTTTCATTCTATTTAATAAACTAATTTCTTTTAATTTCTATTTTCTATCAGATATTTTGTTTCTTTCAAATTACCACTGGCCCATTTCTCTGATCTTCCTGCATTTTTTGAAACCAAATAAAAATTATTATTTTAAGAGTTACATCATCATGTACATGTAAGAGCCAATCATTTTACCCTTGTGATAAATTTATCTCTTATAAAAATAATTTCTTAGATTTCTCTTTCTGCATTTATAGAAATTAAATAAAATGAAATAACTGTTAAAAGTTTGGGACAATTATTCTGAGCCCCTTTATACAAATTTGTTTTCTTTTTCATTGGCCTACTCATTGAATTTCACTTGTAGAGAATTTTGAAGGAATTGTTACAGTTTTAAATTGTTGCACCCCTTTCATGCCAGCCGACAGATGAACCTTTGCGTAGTGTGAAAACACATGTCTTGTAGATCTAGATAATTTGGAGTTCTTACAATGCCCCAAAATGCCCTAATATGGCATAGGCATCCCTCAGTGAAAACAACCCCTTTTCCGTCAGGTGGGTCGAAAAAATATTGATTTGTGGCAAGCCTTGTGTTGATAAAGCATGTGATCTGATGACAGACTTGTAACCCACACAATAATTTTGCTTTATACAGTAAAACCTTAAAGGGGAACAGTTATTTGGACAAATGTTTGAAGCAGATTTATATTTTTGTATGTACTTACAGATAAATACTTTGTGGACAGACTTTGAAAAAGAAGCATATTTCGTGTTTCGAAACAACATAAAAGTCTTTTCCCGTGATATTGGCCTAAATCTTTTCTTAAAGGTGAAATAAACAGGCATATCTTATCTTTTTTCACATCAATTATTTCGGGTTAAACGCAAATCTTCTAAGAGCTCTAGTGTGCTGTACATACGTTTAGGTACATGTACATCATATTCATATGCTTTGTGGATTAAAATGGAATGTGATGGTAATCTTTGCTAATGGCAACCTGGTAATTTTTTGAAAAAGATATAGAATAAAGATGTTTTAAAATGTACATGTACACCTGTATATATCTTCTTTTGATAACATTGATGAAAGCTATCACGCGTCATTGTGTGCTGTTCAAATCAATTGGTGGTCCTTTAAGATCGAGAATGAAGAAGTTATCAGTCAAATGATTTGATTTTGTTTGGTTGGCTGGGCAACAATAGATGCATTGCACCTCTCTGTTGTTACAAAGTACATGTAGATCTCAGATTTTCCTTCAGTTTGCAGTTCCTCATTTTCTGTAACGATCATTCTGTGTTTATTCTTTTCAGAGGTGGATGCAACTCACAAAGATGAAGGCCATCATAACAGAACAAAGGTAATTTTCATGAAATTGTTTGAACTTGCAAACTATTGCAAATTTCTTCTTGTTTTGTTCTTGTTTATACTTTACATTGTTCAGTAGAATTGGAATTCCCATTTAGATTTTAATTGAGTGAATCTGAAATGGCTTTTATTTCCACAATAATTGTGCAAACCAAATTGCCCTTTGCACACTCCATTGAATTTGACCTCATGTAGTATTCCTTAGGCCCGTCCTCATCAGCTCGAGGTTGCCAAATAGCCTGCTATTTTTGATTTGGGAAGTAATCCTGAAGTTACAAATCACGTCTGCATCAGCTTAAAGACTCGACCTCAAAACTTGAAACTCGAGCTCGAGATATTTTGCTCAGCGTTCGCACATACAGTAGTGTGAGTCCTCAGGCTGGTGAAGACGCACCAGACAAATAGCGGGATATTTTGCAAACAAGCCCAAAATATCTTGGGATGATTATCTCGACCAAATATCCTGCTAATTGCAACTTCGGGCTCATGAAGAGGCAAATTAACTGGATAATTTGCGATCGGGATAGTTGAAATAGCAGGATATTTGACAATCCCGAGCCGATGAAGACAGGCCTCTTGTGGTAATGTAGTTTTCCTTACTTCACTGATTCTTCTCCATCATAACAATGAAAATTACTTCCTGAGGCTTCTCTGTAGCCCTTTGTCCCAATATGGCTTCTCTCCTATTCAAGTGTAGACTGTAGTTATATTGGAAGGTTAGGGTCAGCGTTAAGGTTAACATAATTTGGTGTTATGAAAACAAGACAGGGTGTGCGCATGCATTGGGGATCGACTTACATTGATGCATACTGTAGTACTGTAGGAGTTGAGTTGATGTATTGGAGAGTCAGTCACTATATTTTCTTCCTTTTTCATGGAAGGGGGAGGGGAGGCACGTGCATGTCCCTTTCAAACATTCCACATTTTGAGGTTTAGCTCGAGAACTTTTTTTATGCCCGTAGAGCCCTAAATATATAACAGACACATGAGTAGAGAGGGCAAACATTTCTGCACACAATGTGTCCATTTTTCTTGCGTGACTACATGTATATTGTGTCTGATGCCAGGAATATTAAAAAGGAACCCCCCAAAAAGAAGCAATCTGAAAATCTTTACATTGAGAGGTTCAGTATCATTTTTTAGATCGAATCAGTAATTTTTGTTAACTTTTCAATAAAGTCCTTACCTGTGTAAATTATGCTTTTATTAGAGCAATGAAAATGTAGCATTAAAAGATGAATATTTTTGTAGCCAATTTGAGGAGCAAAATGTGATCAATTTAGCCTTACAAAGAAAAGAACTGTCTTGAGAGCGTACCCACTGCACTATCTGTGAAAAAGTAGATCGAGCAGGGCATGTGAGTTAAAGTCTCACCTCCCTGGATCGAGGGATATCCTGGTTCAGTGGTGCACCTGTACACCCCAAACAGTTAAAGCAGTAGAGACCTGAGAGTTAACGAGATGAGGTCTGCCACGCCCCCTCATTGACAACTTGGCTTAATTTTCAATTCAAAGGGCTAGCTTTAATATACATGTCTTGCATGTGGTCTAGTGGATAAGCCACCCGACTGCAGATCGCAAGGTACAGGGTTCGAGTCCGGCCTCAGCACTAATGGCCTTTGGCACAACGTTAATTAACATTTGCCACTCTCCACCCAGGTGTTACATGGGTACCCGGTAGTAGGATGCGAAAGTTGGATGGTTGGATGAGCAAGTGTGCGCTTGAAAAATGGTGACGGGTCGGAATGCTCCCCAGGGATTGGAGAATGTGCGTACAGGTACATTGTGTGCAGGTAAAGCCTGAATCCGATGACCGGGTATATAATATATACTGCGCCTAGAAACAAAGTATTAGGCGCGTTATAAATGTGATGTATTATTATTACATCTTATCTCATTACAGCTTAAAAAGAGTGAATCACCTTCTATCTTGAGGACACGTACATAACACACGCCTGAACCACTGTCTAGCCGCCTCAACAAGCTCCTCTCCAGAGAGACCCCAGGCCATGGGAGGAGGCACCAGCAAGACCAAGCCCCAAGAGGGAGCGACGGGGCTGAACCTGACCAAGGACGAGAGACGATTCCTTCAGAGATGTCTCTACAGTCTCCCCTTCCCTCCCGGTACCATCAACGCGGAGATGGTGGCCGCTGCCTCCAAGATGATAGAGAGGCTGGAATACCACGATCCTGTTAAAATCTTGACAAAAGGTATCATTTCATAACTTGTACCCTTTTAGGACATTTTTGATATTTAAGGCTACATTCACTTCAATTCAATGTATTTTATTTTTCAAAATAAACATTATAAATAAATTATAAACATTTACAATAATTTAGGAATACATACATGTATGGGAAACAAAGGGGGCCACTTAAAAAGCAATGCTTGTACATGTAAGTGTGGATCCCTCAGATGATACTTTAATAGAATAATCAGTACAAAAGGAAAGTTCTACAAAATAGAGGGGAAAAGGGGGATGCCAACAGAGAGGAGGACGGGACAAGACAGTACTTTACATGACAAAGATAGGAGAACACAGTCACAATACAAAGAGTAGACAATGCTGAAAAAGAAGTGAGAGATCGGGGGTACAGAATGTACTGTAATACAAAAGGATGAGCTGCAGGTGGGGTTAATCGCACATTGTTCTTCAAATTGGCAACAATTATATTTTTCTGTTATTGCTCAATTCTTGAATGTGCTAATGCTGTCAATAAATTGAAAAACAATGACTTTGAACCTCTCAATATGTTGCCAATTTAAAGATTGTAAAGCTGATCTTCATTGTTTTAAATTCCCAGCATCAACTGTGGTAATGTCATGAAACAAACATGGATGCTGTGTGTGAAGACATTTTTGCCATTTCTACTCATGCATGTGGCATATTTTGGGGGCTCTTGAAAGAGTTGACTCTTAATACCAGGTTACGAGGGGTCAGTGACCCAAAGACGTAACTCCATTTTGGCCATTTTGAGAAACGGTGGTTTATGTGTCATCGAGCACACGGGCCTTAAGGAGTTTAAGTCTATGTTTCACTAGCCATTGACTTCAATGGGGTGTTGGATGGAGTTAAGTCTTTATGTTTCCTGGAAAGCCCACATTTTTCTGAACATTTTGATATCAAATACTCATTTTGGTAAAATATGGAGTTACGTCTTTGTGTCACTGAACCCTCCGATATGATGTACATGTAAATGTAATACACATAAGTATTTGATATGCTCAAATGAATTTTAAATATTTGCAGGTGGTCGAGCCAAGGGTATCTATATCCTAGTCAAAGGTCAGGTAAAGGTCATATCGGCAAGCGACGAACCTGTCGCCATCCTGTCTCCTGGAGATTTCTTTGGAGAAATCTCAACCCTGTTCTACGTCCCTGTAACAGCTACCGCCCAGTCCTCGGCTAAGTAAGTAAACTTGGATGACTTGCCTTTTATCTCCCTTCTTGAATTTTGTTGCAGTGTGCGCATTTATCTGCCTGTATAAGATACATGTAAGTATGTATAACAAATAATAATTAATATAAATGGTAATATAAAAATGATGATTATAAGAATTGAACTAAAAATCCTTGAGATTTCACTTCTTCACTATGACCTGTTTCAATTTTAGTTCTTCAGATAGTGAATTAAAAATTACAAACAAGTGCAACAAAATATTTGCATACAATGTATACAACCCCATTGCGCTAAAATGGCACCTTGCTTAGCAACAGAGTTATCATAGTACCGGTATGCATTGTCACATCATAGATTATATAATACAATTTAAACATACAAATTACAAACAATGCATAGAAGTGCATTGTGCTAAAATGGAGCGTTGCTTGGCAACAGAATTATCATATTATGTATTGTATATGAATCTGCTTGCATAATTATGATATAAATAATTTTGCTGTTATGAAAAAAAACACATTACCGTACATGCGTAATGAAGTACAAAAGGAGATTGACATGACATGAGTTTGACTATGATGTAACAATACATAATATGATCGTTTATCATGAGGGGAAACTAAAATAGAATATAGATTTAGGTATGACTTGTCATATTAAAGTCATTGTATCAACCAACCAAATCAGATACCAATTCATCAATCATTGTATCTACTACATTTCTCCCCCTCTGCCCTGGTCTAATCAGAGCACAGTTCCTGTTACTGAAAGACGAGAATCTGAGGAAGGCGATTGGGGAGGTGGTGTCGACGGATCTGATGGACTACTACGTGAGACAACGCTACTTTGATACCAGCGGCAAGCTGGACCAGGCGGAGCTCATGAGTAGGATATGCCTAAATACACTGGAAAAGGTGAGATACATACATTGTACATGAATATGGGTATTACATGAAGGACTTAACTAGGGCTAAATGAGCTATATAATCTTCATCTAAGTTTGAGAACATCACTTTAAAATGCACATTTAAAAAATGAAAAAAAGAATGACAACACCTCACAATTTGTTAGGTGCCGGTCTTACTGATCCCAGACAGAAGCTTGTAAAATTCTCCACACTGTATTTGTTTCTCTGTTATTCATTCATATATTCTGTTATTCATTTGTTCATTCAATCATTCAGATTCCACTCTTTAGCAAGTGGAAGGGGGATGCCTGTTCGTCTCTAGTGAAGCAATGCAAGGAAGATATTGGCATCCAGTACCCAGTCTTACTGATTCCAGACAGGACGATGCTGGTCATGGAAGAGGACAAGTCAGAGGAGGTTGTCATTGTCACAAGGGGCAAGTAAGTCAGCGGCCCCATTGTGCCGTATGGTAGAGGTTTCGTAGTGGAGTGATTCAAAGATAAACTTGAGTTTTGGTAAAAAAAAGAAAATGAATTCTCACAGAATCAAACAAAACTTACGCTGAATGTTCAAGATAACAAATAAATGTCATTTGCCAAACAATTTTGGTAGAAAATGTATACTGGCTGAGTAATGAGCATAGAAAGATAAGGAAATCAAGGTAAGTAGGCCAGACACCATTTGTGTAGTCCCATATCCATCTTTCTGTGTACAGTGCTTGTTACTTTACCAAGACTGGGCCAAATATATTATGATTTTGATGACTCCAGAACCTTGCAGTACACACCGATACTTATATGTTTAATAGATGATCAACTTTTTCTGGTCGATTCCACAATGTTTCTTTCACAATGCAATCGCATGACCAGAACTGTTCTATACCTTTAAGCATTTGACGTTAAATGCAAAGGCTGTTAGTTTGATCCCCGACATGTTACTAATGTCCTATGGCAAACCATTTATTTATATTTGCCACTCCCTACCCGGGAAGGTATTGGGGACCTGGTAGGATGACAACAGCCTTTGTGTTAGTCATTGCCATATGCCTTCATGGTTATGGTAAAAGACTAACCCCCAGGGAGTGTAGATGGTGCACATTGTGCGTGAATGAATATGATGACTATGGTTATTTATTCTGTAAAGTCTTCAGAGGCTGTATTTTGTTTGTTTGTTTGTTTCATTTATTTAACCACGGTTAAAACACCTGCTATCAGCCACAAGGCTGTTTTCAGCAAGTCTATTAAAAAACATTCATACAATATACATGTACATAATCAAAACAAATAAAATTCATAATACAAATTAAAATAACAAGAATACAAATGTGCAAATACCTTTTAATAACAATCACACTTAGTATTTTAAATATCAGAAATTTGAGGGGAAAATACAATTTAGTCAAATCACAAGCTCCTTATCATAAAACAAATCATCAGAGGTAGATTGAGTGAGAGAGCAAGAGAGCGATGGAGAGAGGGAAAGAGAGAGAGATGAGGAGATGGAAAGAGAGAGAGAGAGAGAGAGAGCGTTATATAAATCCAGATTATTATTTTTTTTTTTTGTATAATTGTTTTTATTATAATTATTATTGTTATTATTATTATTAGTGTCATTATTAGGTTACGATTATTATTATTATTATTATTATTATTATTGTTATTATTATTATTATTATTATATTTGTAATAAGGGACTGAGTTAAATCTGTAATGATTTGTTACATAGATTACCAAGAGTTAATCTACTTACAGTGTATTCCCTTCAATTTACTGCAAATTATATTACTAAAGGAAGAACAACATTGTTGAAATGAACATGAGAAATGAATTTTAGAACTGCACAATTTTTGTTGCTCTCTTTATATAAAATAATATGGTAATTTACTGATGAAGAGTGTTTTTCATGAATAAAGTTGATATGCTTTAATACTGGCCATAATGTCTTTGTATTTGTGGAAATATTGCAATGAAGATGTCTAATGGTTATTCAATTGAATAGTATTATGATCCTTATTATAACCCTTTTGTAGTGAATATTTTCTGATTTTAAGTTCTTACTTACATTTTTTTTTTTACATTTGCAATTTTGTGTTCACCTTTTTTTCTGTCTTGAAATGTTGACAGAGTGGAGATCACAAGAGAGAAAGAATCCATTGCAGTCATTGATGTTGACAGGTGGCCATTCTGGATTGGTGAAGAAGGTAAAAAAGAGCATTTTCTTATATTAAGTTGGTTTTGAAAGAAGCAGAAAAATGAGAGGAACAGGTCAGTGAAAGTTTGGGCAAAATCTGATTAAAAAAAAGAAAGTTATGAACTTTTGAATTTGCGATCAGTCAACCCCTAATTGGCAACACTGTAACGTATCTTACAGGGTTCTCCCATTTTGCTCTCCCTCCCCCTCCCAATCAAGTCAGAAATTACCATTGGAATGTTCAGTCATACGTCACAGTTGCTTACAAACAAGCATTTATGCTTTCTTAGCAGTAAGGTAAAATAACCACAACTAAACCAAAACCACTAAACCACAGTATTGTTGATTTTTGTTTCATGGATGAAAACTTTAAAAATTCTTAAATTTCCTATTTGTAATTGAATATTGATCAAATTTTCACTAATTTGTTTCCCACATTGTTATGCTTTTATTCATATACTTAAAGATGGTTGAATTTCTTTACCCACAAAATTCTTGCAGCTTGTGCTTATTGCTGTACATTTAACTCACTAGTCATAATAGAGTTTTAGTATTCAGTATACTACACATATTCACTTATAATCTATTTTTGTTGTTCATCCTTCATTATTTAGGTCTCTTCACTAGCATCGATAACACATGTGCAGCCCGTGCTATAGGCCCTTGCCAAGCCATTAGGATCAAGAAATCTACCATTCAAAACATCACTAACAAAGTGAGTCTTAAGTATGGTATTTATAATTTGTATAACATTGTTACTCATTTGACCTGCTTATGACAGGTCTGTTGAAAAAATTGAAACATAAATCTTATAAATTATAAAATATCACATATTAATTGCTTGAATGCCTAAGGCGTTTTGTTAATAGTTTGTACAGGTGTATACTGTTTGCTGTTGAAATGATGATTCAATTTTGGAAAATCTGGGAAAAAGTCAGAATTTTGTTCTCATGAAACGCTTGGGAGCCCTGCTGAGTGCTCTATGAAATAGAACTTCATGTTGCTTGTACCATTGTGTGTTATGATGATAATAATAATAATAATAATCTGTCTTGTGTACCAAGGGTAGCCTCATAAGTATTAATACTGTTCTCCCTGAGGGCCTTGCAATCATCTTTTTCTTCATACTTTCTGTAATAATATCAGTAATGCTTTTGTTTATCTTTCTGTTGGTAATGAAATAAATACAAATTGAATTGAATTGAATATTATTACCCCGGCTTTGTTTCAGGAGTTCATGCCATGTAATATACAATCTACATGTAGATATTGACTTGTTGCCCATAGCACTGAAATAATACTTATACTTATCCTTTCTCTTTGTATAAAGTTCAAAGTTGAGGCAGGGTATGATTTTGAGAAGCGAGCAAAAGTCTGGGAGTCAAGACTAGGCTATCAGAGGCAGCTGTCTGATAGAATGAAAGCCGAAGTACTCCTCCCTGTAAGTTCATGCTTTGCATTCATATCAATATTCATGTTTATAACTTTCTTGTTATTTATATTTCTCTATGATTATTATTTTAATTATTTTTAAGGACCTATAATTGAATGTATTTTGTTAATTATTTGCTGATTATTTTGTACATTATATTGTGCATTTTCCCACTTTTCTCAATAAACATCAAGTCCATATTTGCAATTGTGATTATCTCTTGAAATTCTACACTTCTATGTATAAAGTGCATAGAGAATCTTTTAGTATAATGCGCTATTTAAGAATCTACTTGTTAATATGTATCCTCTTTTTCTGCTTCTGAGCTTACAAACAAGTATCACAATTTAAATTTAAATTTAAATTTAAATTCAAATTTTCATTTAATTGTTATTTCCATTTTTCTTTATTAATATTTGTTTTCACTGGTCAAAGTTAGCTGTATCTGCATCCAAGTCAACTTCAAGAAGAAAAAAAAAGTTCTTGAACTATCACCCCCCCCCCCCCCCCCTCCCCATCTATTGAATATTTTGTGTGTTTTATATTGTTTTTCCTTATCTCTACTCTCTCTCTCTAGGTTCTCGTCGATACGTTGTCAAGATTGGAGATGTTCTCCAGGGCTTCTTTGGTCTTCGTCTACAACGTTGCCATGTTTTTCAGAGCTAAAGCGTATGAAGACAAAGCTGTCATTATGGGTAAGTCTGCCTCTCTCTACCCAGGGGTACATGAGTACATTACAATAAAACCTGTCTATAAAGACCACCCAAGGGAGACAATAAAAAGTGGTCTTTATAGTCAGGTGGTCTTTATGTACAGGTGCCTGTAGTACATGTTTCAATGAGAAACCTATTTTTCGAGGGAAACAAGAAATGTGGGCTTTGTAGACTGGTGGTCATTAAAGCAGGTTTGACTGTATAATAATAATAATAGTTGGTTCTTGTATAGCGCTCATGTCTGTCAAACTTGACACTACGGGCACTCCATAATTATTACTGCAAACCTTAGCATGGCTGCCATCATGGTGCTTTAGCATTTTAAGAAATTAATTCTTGCCAGGTACCCAATTATCTCACCTGGGTTGAGTGTGGCAAATGTAGATTAATGTCTTACCAAAAGACATTAGTTCTGCAGCGGGACTCAAACCGATACCCATATAGTGCGTCCCAGAAAAAACAAAACTGAGAATTATCGATGTTTTATCATAACTTAATCATAATTATAATTAATAAATAACACATATTTGTAAAGCTTAGATCTTCTTCCTCTTTCATTTGATGCAACTCATATGTGGCATATTTCACGCATTAGTGATTAAAAACAATTTGAATAGAGGATACCAAAAAGTCATTTGGCCGTAGGTATCTGAATTTCAAAGATAAAATCACATTTCTAGAAAGTTCATTTTCTGCCCTTTCATATGACATCTCAATCAGGAAAAAAAAAGCAAGGAATGACAAAGTTCTGTTTGTTTATAAAAGTAATGCTTGAATTGCCATAATTTGATTAAACAAATCGTTTGCACTGGCTGCCTGCCGTAGCAACAAACAGTTGACACACGACTTTACTCAGTTTAGTTGACAATCAGCCATGCATCAAGTCTTTCATCTTCTTTTCACGAAGGATAGAGGCAGCTCTTGCTACAGTGTACATGTGTTGTTCTAAACGAGTTCCATTTTTTCACCATTTTTCAGATGGGCCAGAGAACCCTACCAAGCTCAAGAAGGCCCTCCAAGCCAGGAAAGCAGACCAAGCAAACAAAGGATCTCAGAAGAATGCTGTTCAGGGCTCCTCGGCCTCCAAGGCCATACAGGGAGCCACTGCTTCCAATTTCATATCAGGTAAAGAAAGAAAGCTTCCTCAGAATGATTTTGAGGGGTCAGTTGACACAAAGATGTAACTCCATATTTTGCCAAAATGAGTATTTGATATAAAAATGTTCAGTAAAATGTGGGCTTTCCAGGAAACACAAAGACTTAACTCCACCCAACACGCCATTGAAGTCAATGGCTCGTGAAACATAGACTTAACCCCTGAAGGCCCAAGTGGACCTACATGTATAATGTATATCTTTAAGCCCTGTTTTCTCAAAATGGCCAAAATGGAATTGCATCTTTTGTCACTGACCCCTTGATTTGTATTTCTTTGTTTTGTGTTAAGGTACAAAAAAGATATGAGTAAGTCGTAGTTATTACATTTGTAATATTCAGAGTACATGTAGTCGTACATCCTTTTTGGATGGTGTTCGAAAAATGTTTGTTTTTATTTCGTTTGAATAAAACTTAGCCTTTGCCTATCTACTACACAAATTTAAGCCCCACTGCACTACTTATAGCTACTTGCGACCTCTATATACAACTGTATAGAAAACGATGCCTAATTGGTGCCATTGGTCCCCCATGATCCTCTTTTTCTTATGTCAATCGAGAGCTGAGTTGATGAGATAGCCACCTGTCAATGACCACGCTGTCTGGTCTAATCCCTCCTTACGAAACTAGTGCAGACAGGCTTTAAAGTACAAAAAGATATAAATTAATTGTAATAATAGCAGTTGTAATGTTTAGAGTACATGTAGTTTTACAACCCTACAACCCTTGTATGAAACCAATCTTTTCTGTCATCAATAACCAAGAGTAAATACATTTTCTGTACAGAGTAAATAGGAGGGGATCTTGCAAGATATGTCACAGTGTTGCCAATTTGTGTTTCACCGATGACAACTTCCAAAATTCATAACTTTCCTACTTTTTTTATCAGATATGGCTAAAGCTTTCTCTAATTTGTTTCCCTCATTTTTCTGCCTTCATCAATACCAGTTGACTATCAGGGTGGACTTCCCCTTTAAAATAAGATTTTAAATAAGCAAAAATTGATATTTATGATCTATGATTGGGACGATTTTTCATTCACAGAGAATGATGTCTTCCTGATGCCATTGAAAGGAGAAATGGCAGTGGTTGGCATCGACAACTTTACCTTTGCGGAAAAGAGCATTATTTGTAAGTATGGCTAGAGTGTCCATGTCGGTGCATACACGTAACTGCACGGTTGTTTTTATTTTGTACATTTGACCTACAGTTTATATATTTTCTCTTTTTTTTAAACAATCCTGCATGAAATTCTCTTTACTGCAAAAAGGCCATTCTACAAGTATGTAAAGGCATCGTTTAACAATGTTTTCATTTGAGACGTTTCCATCTGAGATGCATGACCCTATGTGTGTCTGTGATATGGTGTAATATTGAAGCCCTAAAAAAACATTGCGCTTCAAAACAATCAAGAAGTGCCTCAAAAAAGTAAAAACCTTTGAGTGACGGGTTTTACCATACTCGTTTTCCCCAAAAGACTGTAGTGTTATGAAAACGCAAAATTTGATTTTAATTTCCAATCATAGATATCTTGATAATCCGACAGGCGATCGGCTTGTAAAAGTCAAGCATTACATAAGGCCTTTTGGTCCTAAAAGTGAAGGCGATTAGAAAAAAAAAGTATTTTGGTTAAACACTCAAATGGTGTCGAATTCCCCATGAGATAACATATCCGAGTTGAGTTTTTGTAGCAAACAGCTACTTTTTCACCCCACTTCCCATTTAGGTACACCCAGAATTGTTTTTATTGTGTACATTTGACCTACAGTTTATATATTTACTTCTTTTTCTTAACAATCTTGCATGAAATTTTCTTTGCTGCAAAGAGGCCATTCTACATGTATTTAAAATACAACAAATATAAATGTTTGTTGTTGTTGTTATTGTATAGATCTGGGACCCGTCTCACAAAGCCTTTTTTCAATGACAAATGACAAAAATCAGTGACAAATCTGTTGATAACCAATCAGAAGCAAGGATTTCAGTAGCTTATAACAAAAACTGTCATTTGTCACTGATGACAAGTTTTGTGAAACACCCCTTGCTCATTAGCATGATTTTCATGCATTCTTTTCATGTTTTGCTTTGATAGATCTTCCCGAAGCAGAAAAGATCAAGCTCACAGCAAAAGGAGACACGCTAGTCCTCACCATAGAGGGCAGCAGACTGCTCAGCTTATGCAACTCGTATCCCGACATACAAATCAACGTGCCTCGGCCGGTTTTATGATTATAAAATTCTCTAAGTTATTTAATTCAGCAGAATATATTTATATACTTATATATTATACAATGATGTTGTAAATTGTACAAAGTAGCTTCTAAACTCCATGTATAACTGGGACAAACAATCTGTATAGTTTTTTATTACTTTTATCTCATATTTAAAATTCCTGTATTATTATTCCTGCAGAATGCTTTCAATTTTGTATTTTTTTTAATGAAATATATATGTAAGAAACTGGAAAATGAAATGGAAGTGTGCTAGTACAATTTGCATAAAAAAACATAGAGAAGAATCCCAGTTTGAAAAGCAGTATACAAAATTTTACCAATTTTAACAATTGAGTTCATCATACGAGCTATCCGCATTTGAGTTGAGGCTGTATGCATCCATTGTATATAGCCTTCAACCTCCACACGATAGGTGCATAAACAGCCTCAACCAGAGCGGATAGATCCTTAATTATGGCGCCAGGCACATTGATCTCAGCGCTTTGCTTGGAGCCAGCAAATCAAGCCAGTGCGTTATCCATTTGTAGCCTATTTTATTGTTTGTAACCATTGCCCTGCATATTTAGTCCTGGTTTTTAGCTACATGCACATATTTTGTGCAATGAAACAGTCTGCTTTTCATAGAACGCTCTTTGTTTTTGCTCAAAATTTTATGTGTACATACAGTTACTTGTGTCATATTCACCAGGGGCCGTTTCATGAAACGATTACCGTAATTAACGGTGCATTAACCGCACCCCTCTTAAGTTTTCGCCCTAAAAAAAAAAAAAAAAGGAGGCGGAGGCATTATGTATTCAAAAATAGCTCGCTTCTGTTTTGGTTTGTAAAATTACTCCATGGCGGAGGCATCATTTTTCGACTGCGCGTGGTTGAAGGTCCATCTAGTTAAAAATGTATTTCTACTATTGTTCAGAAATATGATTGAAGTGCCAGAAGGGCATTAATGGCTTAACAAAATGTAGTTGCACGAAGTCCGGAACGTGAGATGCATAATTGTCGAAAATCATAACTTTACCACTAAGAGGTAGAACCACATCGTTAGGTTATGGAGCTGGTAATCTCGATGAGACTTAATGTTAGCTAAACTTTCTTTCAGATATGTGAAGAACAAAAATTTGTTTAACAAACATCACTTAACATTTTGCGTTCCGGACGCGTCTTTTCATGCCACTTAATTTTGCTAAGCTACCCAAGACCCTTCTAGTTCCAAACAGAGCGTTCAATTTTGGTTTATGTTTTAAAATGTATTCAAATTCTTATGCTAATCTTTTTCTTCTAAACATATCGTCGCTGTTTTCACGAAGTGACGGTAGTGAAAAAAATTGCATTCACTTTGCGTTACGATTTTCCTCACTACCGTCACTTCGTGAAAACAAGGACATTATACTTTATCAAATATCACAAGTACTATCTGGAAGTAAATGTGGTATAAAGACTGCAAAAGATCAACTCATTGATATCCCTTCTTGAAATCTACATACATGTATTCGTTATTTGCTTTCTCTTTCAAATTATTTTCCAAACATTACACTTTCCTACATATTTTTTTTGTGAGCCTAACCTTATTTATTATTAAAGGTTATGAACTGGTACTGTTCTTATGAGGTACTGTAGTACCCCTAAATGTTGTTATCTAATGGTGCCTTCACGGAGGGAGAAATGTCCTTTTTACACGTGTGAATAAATGGCAACTGCGCACAACAAAAGACATGTGTGTATTCACCAAGCTTAGTGTTATAAGATACAGAAATTTGGAAAAGGGTGTCTTTTAAAATCAAATGTTATTACAGTACAGGGAGTTTGGTATTATGTGTGGTATATAATGGCCTACAATATGTGTGTAACCTTAAAGTTCTGCAGAGCAACTCAGTGGAAATTGTGGACTGAATTAAAGTGTTTAATTTCCCCTTATTTCACTTGTTTCATTACGGTAATGACAAAGACAAAAGGATCCGGATCATTTTATTGGAAAAGTTATCTTTAATATCATTTATTTCATTTATTCGTCATCTCAATGAAACATATGCAGTCATCTTCATTCTATAATCTATCATGTGGAAAAATATATATGTACATTATATCATGGAGCTGCACACATCTGACATATCTACGCAACTCAGTGTATTCAGTTCAATTTCTTTTCTGTGTTAGATGTATTTTATTAATCATTTCAAATGCATCTCAGTCACCTTGTTATCCAGGTGTATTCTATAGAAAAGGCCAGTCTTTAAAACAAATGACATGTATATACTGAAGATTGTGTGACTTCCAGAGATGAACCTCAAAGTACATAAAAATGACCCATGAAACGTATTCATACATATTACATATATGTTTAAATGTGAACAAGAAAAGTACAATCAAATGCAAGCACATGTAAGAAGGCATTAGTAACTTCCATAAAAGTCATCTTTATTTCTGTATTCTTTGTACACAGTACAAAACATTTAGAAGTGTTCAGTCAAATACATGACATAGAATAAATATATTTATACATGTATGGCAAATTAATACACTTTCTTCTTACGAGTGGATAATTAATTACCTGCATTTGTATCTGAAATAGAGTACTTAATCTGTTTTTCCACTGTTTTTTTTTTTTTTACTGCTTGCCTTTCCTGTCCAATTTTATACACAATAAAATCTATGCAGTACACATTGCTTCTTTATACAGAAAAAATATGTCTCGGTCTTTCATTTGCATTCTGCTTTTCAATTTATTGTCCAATATTGGAAATTTGTTTTGCTCACATTTTTACGTACAAATACCGGTAATCAAAATAAGTTTACACACATAATATATTTTGACATAGAAATTCTTCAGAATATTGATGTACAGAAGTTTCCTTATACCTGTATGTTATTAATTATTATAAAACAAATTTAAATGTTCAAGTGAAAGGGATGGCTTGGAAAGCATCTGGTCATTTCACTATTTAAATATGAAGAAAATAATTACAGTACCAGTAATCCATTCAGGTCACCAAGCTTCATCTGATCGGTGATGTAAATTAAAAATTAGTTCTTTCCTCATAGTCGGTAGAAAAATTGCCTGTTCGATTAAGCGTAAGTTTAATAAATCAAGCGTAACTTTGACAAATCAAGCGTAAGTCTGTTAACCCATATTATAAAGAAACTGAAAGTTAGGCTTGATATTAAGCTTGAAATCAAGCGTATCTTTTGTAATTGATCATAACTTTACGCTTAATTTTTATCAAGCGTAAAGTTACAATCAAAGAGGGCAGCCATACTGCTACTCCTGCAGGAAGAGGTTCGTAGGCGACCACGGAGGAAAAGAATCTTCTGAGACAGAGTAGACCCATTGGATAGGCCTGACAATGAAATCTGGAGAAAATACAGATTCACAAGGGCTTGTAGTGACTTGTCTTTATTTTGTGGCTTGTAGTCTGGCCTTTTATTCAATTGTCACCCATTTCCATGGTGACACCTGTATTTATTAGAGTGCCACACATTCTCTGGCAAGCACATTATAAACCTTATTGTATTGGGATGTGCAATTATTTAGAGAGTGTAAAGTCTACACCAAAGCTAATTCAGCTTCATCTAAATTCATGTCCTACTTCTTTTGCTTGTTTCTCTACTCGGTTCTAAGGCCTTATTAGTTTATAGAGATTATGAGTTTCTTCTTCCTTACTTAATCTGTAAAGAAGCAACATTACTTTGTACATATATAGTCTATATTTTTTTTCTATGGGTGCTGTGCAATATTTGAACTACTACTTATTATTAGCCTTGTGAGATAATATATGTCCCAGGTGTCGGTATTCAACAGGTGCATCTAAGAGACAAGGTAGGACATCTATTTCTTTTATTTTAGGTGATCAAATCCCTAAAGAGCTAACTAATACAAAAAAGCTAAGCTTTTGAACTTGGAGAAGACGCACAGACAGCTACTTGTGTCTTGCAGGATATCAAAAACTGTCCCTGTAAAGCGCTACAGAAAAGTCAAGCAAGGGCTCAAGGAAAAGGAAGAGGATGTGAAGCGACTCAAATTTGACAATCTATTTCTAAAAGAATCGCTTGAATATATGGAGGCCAATGCTGATGTCAGTTCTAAGATGGATTGAAAAACTAATTCTCTTTTCTCTTTCTCCAAGCTCTCTATCCTCCTCTCCTCTTTGCCTATCCCTTTCTTCCTTTCTTCCCCACCATTTATAATGTATAATTGTATTTATGTATTCGGGGGTGCCCATTACAAGCTATGCTTATCGGGTTTCGCGCCTTCTTACCTGTAATACAAGTTCTTTAATTATATTTATGTTCCTACTTATAAATTGTATTGTTTGAACAGATGTCAAATATGTTGTCAAATTGAATGGAAGAAAATAAATGTTCATTTGAATTTGAATTGAATTGAATTGAATGGAATTCTTCCACAACCAGGACGAAGGTGTCCGATTGTGTCATGAACAAAACACCAACAGCAAACATTCCTGTCCGCCTTAGTCACCTTCACAAGCGCAGTGGTCAGGTAACTGTTGGGTTCGATGCCACAACGCAGGAAGAGATGCACATCAACGTTCTGAGAACGCACTCCATTACTGGCAAAGGGAGTAACCGGTACAAAGGAAAACCTGTCTGTGAGCCACTGGAGCCAGAAAAAATACAGGCATTGCGTGGTAATGAACCTTCCAATTTTTCTATCACAATAAATTTGACCATTATAATTGTTCTTTTGGTCAGGTACAAAAAAGCCTCTCTTTTTGTTATAATCACACAAACTTTTAAAGGGGAATTCCATCCTGAAATAAGTTGGTTTTACTAAAATCTATTGAAGAAAATAAAATAGAGGAATTCATAGAAAGTTTGCAATTTTTTAAAGATGTTAATAGGTTTATTAAAGTTTGTGTGCAGAACAATGTTTTTTTTAAAGATAGAAAAGGCTTGGACTTAACTTTTAATGAGATGAGATTCATCTCATGTTGGTGGAGCAGGAAATAACATGATGGCCATTCTTGGCCTACTTTCACACCAAAACAAAAACAAATGTTTTGTGAGTAGTTAAAATAGCAACAGTAGAAGCTTTAGACATCCATTTATAATTCTGATTGTCTACATTTGAAAATGAAGGTAATATATTCATTTTACTAGGTATTTATAAGTGTATTATTAAGCACCTTTTTCTCTCTATTTTCTATTTGTGATACAGAGTGTTTCCTTCACCGGCTGCGCAAACAGTCTCTCTCCGAGGGTGAGAGAACAAAGGAAGCGGGCAAGGTTTACTCCTACCTCAGTCAAAAGATAATGGACCTTAGACGTACCTAAAGAAACCTAATGTAAAACCCGTCGCCCA